CAGATTTATCCGTCTAACTGAATGAAGCTACAACTACTGTAGTACAAGTTACGCCATCCCATGATTCCTGCATTGAACTAGGACTCTCATAATGGAGTGGCTGTTGAAGAAAGCCGTGGGCCAAAAGGTCGCTGGTTCAAATCCCACTTAAGGCCCTCACTGACATATCCCGTCTGTCAGGGGCTCGCGCTCTAATAAAGTCTGTTTAATTTGAAGGAGATGAAATGGGAAGGCTGCTGGAAACTCATCTGAGATGTTCGCACTCCCCGTCCCGTGAGGGGTCCTTCACTGTGGGTCTTACACGTGTTTATGACTAAATCCACATCAGATCCATGTCTTGGCATGCGACGTCAGTGTTTCTGTGGCATTCACACTAGGCGCAATACAGCAGAGTGACTAATGAGCGAAATTTGTGTATTGTATTGGGTTGCTAAGCAACTCTTGATTTTCCATTGAATCACTGAGCTACACCATGGTAGGAGACTACTGGAATACATCTCAGTTTCGTTTCAGACAGTCGCAATTTACTCCCTCCAGCAATGTCGAGACCTCTAATGTAGAACAGCTGACAGTAGTCAGAGATTCAATTAAACTATTACAATGACATTCCGCAAGTAGCTCTCGCTCCTTAGTTTTGAAGCACTGAGTTTGGCCCAGAATTCACAAGTGTGCCACAAACCGCCTGATACACACTGCACACAAACATGCCAAGAGCTGACTAAATTCACTTATACCAGTCTGACCAGTTGGCTTCTACACAATGGACTCTATGCACACTAAAATCTCAGTGCTACACGAGTTTCCGGTATTGTATTCACCCATAGCAAACTGTGGTAGTAGCACTCTTTCTGTCATATTTCTAATAACTGTCGATCACAACTAATTATAATAATAGCAACTATAGTAAATGTAACATTTTAGTACATTATATTAAAACATAAAATGTTAGTAAAGTTTTCTAAAACCTCTCAATATCTTTAGTGTGAAAGTGTATCATATCAATATTGCTTTGTCTTGTCGTAACTTCCTCAAGATTTTATTTTGTGCTTATTTTTTCCCATACACTTCACTGCAAGTTGCGGTGACCACTGAATGCCGCTAAATGCAGAAGCAATCATGTATAGAGTGCATTTATAGAAGTCCACATGTTTTTATGATTATAAGAAATAACCAGTTGCTAAATTTCCCTGCGGCTCTGGCATTCAGGAGAGAGAGTTTTGTTCGCCGATACTTGGTAGAAAGTAAAAGAGATATCCTTAAGCACACATTAATATTCCACTTTGTTTCAGAATTGCATTTGATTTCAGATTTGCTTGCCCCTAAATAATATGTAAAACAAATAAACCAACCATTGTTGGTCATGTTACAAATGGCTCAGATTAACCTCTTCCTGTTTAAGTCAATGGTTGTTGGCCACTGTTGTTGAAAGTTACTTTTAAAAGTAGTGCATTACATTGTGTTACTCCCTAAAAAAGTAACTAATTACGTTACTTAATAATTTTATGGAAAGTAATGTGTTATGTTACTTTTGCGTTACTTTTTCTCATCTGGCCTGGACTTGCTTGTTTGTTTTTAATATAAAAAGTTCTATTTTTGGCAAATGTAAAAGCCCTTTCACACCAAAAGTGAATAAGTCTCAGGCTGAGGGAAATGTAAATTCACGTCTGTACAGTCGAGGGCGCAGCTCAAACAAACCATGCAGCTGTGCTGCCATTCTGGATTGCATGAAGAATAGGACACAGGAGAAGAAAGTTCAACATTCTTCAGCAATAAAAAAGAATGAAACAAATGTTATCTAAAGTCATTTTTGTTTATTAGTATGGTTGAACGGGCTCATCGAAGGTCAGCAGCAAAGACATTGGTTAAAAAAACTGGGATTAAAGGGTCATGAAACCCTAGACTACTTTTTCTGAGATTTTAGCAGAGGTGTTTGTGTTTGTCACGCCCGGTTGCCTGCACCACTGTGAGGCTTTAGAGGGCGTTCCTGTTTTGTGTTCCTGCCTGTTCTGGTCATGGACTCCATTTCCCATCATGCTTTGTTTTCATTAGTGTCTACCTGGTTCAGCTGTGTTCCATTTCCTGTTTGGTCCTGTGTTTGTGTATATTAAGCCCTGGTCTGCTATTGTCGGTGTGAGTTGTTGATAAGTGTTACCTCCTTGTGGTTCCATCATGTATTTTGGATGCTTATTTCTGTGGATTATCATTAAAGGATCTTGAACTGCATTTGGACCTGCTGCCTGTTGCCTACTTGTGTTCTTTCATAACAGTGTTGCACATCATAGAAGACAAGGTTAACATCCGATAATTTTAACAGTTGGAGAAAACTGGTTAATTTTAAGCTTTTTTGCGCTATTTTTATCTTCCGGGTTTAAAATCTGCATTGTGTTGACGTCACAATTTGTGACGTGGCAATGGACTATAGTACATCGATGACGCTCGGTGTCTATTAAATTATTCATGAGACTGCGTGTTCTTATCCTATGAGAAGAGGCTTCGCTTAATTATTCACAACAGCATGTGCTGATTTGCTATGACAGACGCTTCAGACTGTGAGATGACATCGCGCATGTTAACTGAGAGAAACGTTGATGGATGGAAGAAGAGTGTTTGTTTTTGCTTTGTAATAAGAGTTCGGCACAAACGCGATTCATTCTCTTGGTGAGCATAACCGTTTTTACAGCTCTGTGACACAACCCGTCAAAAGGCTTATATAAACGCCACAGAATAAGCCTTAAAAGTTCTTAGAGGTGCAACAGCGCGTTCATATGTTTTCGATGCAGAGTGCAAATGGCTGTGCATTTATTTGTGTTTGAGGAGGGGAGACAGAGAGGGTTTTATTTGTTGAAGAGGGGAGACAGACAAACAACACACACAGCTTCGCGTTCAGACAGTTTCATTTCGCTCCCATCGAGTAAAAAAAAAAAAAAAAATTGTGTTTATTTAACACAAATAAATATTTGTGTTATTTAACATTTAATTATTACAGGTTTGTGTCATGTTCTGAGTTTGTATTTCACAGTTTTTATTCATTTTGAGAAATACTGAATTAGTTTTTTTGCAAGTGAGTAATAAATGCATGTTCACATTTAGTCTAGATATACAGTAAGCATCATGTTCACACAGTGCACACAACACCCGTGCATTTACTCCCGATTTCTCTTAACATGGGTACTGGAGAGCTGTCAGTCAATAAAAGGGAAAACAAAGTAACTGGCGTTACTTATTTGAAAAAGTACATAAAAAAGTAATGTGTAAAAAGTAACCTGATTACGTAACTCACGTTACTTGTAATGCATTACTCCCAACACTGTTCTTCACTAGAATAGGTCACAAAGTGGACAAGACTTTATGTCTGTAGACAAATGGGTTGAATATATTGTTCTTTATACAATTTTGGACCAGTTACCAAAGTCTAACTTAATTGACTCCTTGTGGCAAAGTGGCTTTAAATATATTAACCTTGCTTTTTATTCATACATGTTCTTCACTAATACTGTTGTCTTTAAAATACAGTAAATTTTGTATTGTATAGTAACTTAGATTGTTTTTTGTGCTTTAAGTGGCACTAGAACTGTGTAATTTGATAATTTTAGAAAAATATGAATTATTTTCAAAAAATAATTATTACAATTATTTATTTCAGTCTTTGTTTGCATTGTCAGTTTTAACTATGTAATAATTTATATTCTTCTAATTGATTTTCACGATTTATAATTGAAAGTCTCGGTGTGAGGCACTGGTAAAACAAATCTATGGTTAAAAGTCAATTGCAAAGTAGTAAAATAAATGTTGAAGGCTTAGTGAAATGTTTTGACCTTATAAGAAAAAAAAGAAAAAGTTTAAATAAAATCAACAGCAGGTCCCAGAGGATGAAGTATCTGCTTGTAAAGTTATGAGTATCCATATTGGTTATCGTCAGTTATTATTATTATTATTTTTTTTTTTTTTTAAACATTGCCATCATCTAACAAGCATTAATTGAATCTTTAAAGGCACTAATAATTTATAATTTTTTCAGTCACTCTTCTTTTTAAGGTCTCACTATTTCCTAACTATTAACTGTGACTTTTGCCTCAAACTCCTAATTACTGCTTATTAATAGTTAGTATGGGATAGGATTAAGGGATCTAAAATATGGTCATGCAGAAGAAGGCATTAATATGTGCCTTATACATGGGTCAAAGACGTTAAGATGTCCACATCAAAAGAAATGTACAAAAGTGATTTTATGTCCATAGAAAGCACATTACATGTAAGTGTAGTGTCTACTTTTAAGGTTTCAAATAAGTTTTTTGAGAATAAAATGTCAAAATATGGTTGAAATAATGTTACATTATCATTCAGACAATTCAAACAACATGCTTATTCTGACGTGTACATATTAAAATATATAAAAGAATAAGAGAGCATATTTAAAACACAATACAATTTAATGAGTAAAAAATTCTTACTGACAAATGGGCAAAACCTAGGATAGTGGCAAGTTTAAAAAATGTAAAATTACCAAATAATTAGTATTTGGGGTGAAAGTAATTAGTCTTTTAATGTGTCATAAATTGATTTTTGTTGTAAATATGCCTGACAAGATTGTTACACTGAATGACATTTTAGTGGGTCTCTTCTGTAAATCAGGGAAAAATGTATGATATTTATTTTTTGCTCAGAAAAACAAAACTTATCGTTTTATGCTTAAACCCTTTTTCGTCTTTGACCCACATACCAAAAAACAGCCAATATGCTAATAATATGCATGCTAGTTAATAGTGAGAATTGCTCCTTAAAAAAGCATTACCTTTCTTTCATATTGTACATTATTATGTACTTCATAAAATTCAGTGGTACCATTTAAAACAACTGATTTTATTTGATTAATTTAGAAAAATATGGAATGTTAAAATCAACTGATTTATTAACAGCTTTTCAGTCGTAATATCTCTGCATCCCTAGTTCTGACGTAGGTATTAGAGGCTGTACTAAAGGCTCGCTGTGTGTTTTTACAGTGCTCTGCTCAGTGTGGACTAGGGCAGCAGATGCGGATGGTTCAGTGTCTGTCGTATACAGGACAGCCCTCCACCGAATGTCCAGAGTCACTACGGCCCAACACCATGCAGCAGTGTGAAAGCAAGTGTGACGCTACACCCATCTCCGGTGGCGACGGTAAGTCAGTCACCCTTCCTCTAATCCCGTGAAAGAGCGGCGATGGCTTATGAGCGTTTCGTACGAGCTGCAACTGGCTTTGATCACAGTGTTGACATTTACAAAGTTTGTGGCCTCTGCATTCAATTTTGAATCAACAAAGGATTATATTGTTCTGTTCTTGCCCGTTATTAAATACTTCAGTTTGGAAATGAGACGGGGCAATCCTGGATTCAATAAAAGTTCCATGACCCTTGCGAGATGGATCCCTATTCAGATTCCTTCACCGGGGAAGCAGCGTCTCCTAATGGACCCTAATAGGATTAGTTGTGTCCTAATCAACAGCAGTGACAGAATGTCTACTTTCATTGTCTTTAGCCATGGCAGTTTAAAGACTCTAATAAGGAAGCCATTAATTGAGGTTGGGCCAGTTAGCACCATCAGCACACTGCCATACTAATGCAGTTGGCCGTCTGCCCACACTGTGAATCAGGTCGCTCTCTTTTTACGCTTAGATGCTATAATTACCATAAGAGGCTTGTGTCCAGGCCCTGAGTCATGGCCTCTTTTGAAGGAGGACTTAAGAGTTTTGGCTTTGACACAAAGGAAGTCTATTAGATTTATAGTGCTGCAGGGTCATGCGAGATTCTGTCCCTGTCCTACAGAATCCCCCTTGGACCCGAAAATAACTTTTAATTGGTACTCTATTCAGGGTACCCACAGAATCGCTGTTTTGACGTTTCATGTAAATGTAAATACGACGTTTAAAATCTTTTGACTGTTTGAGAGATACGGGCACATATTTGTGATGATTTTCCCAATGCCATAGTGTCACATTTGTGATTTTAGAACAGTTAGTGGCGTGACCATCAAGCTGCTAGGTTCAATTCAGATTTCGCATCTACCCAGAGAAATATGATGCTACTGGCTAACCGACTGTCCTTCATTTTCACACAATTGATGTTCTCAAGCATAATGTTTATTTAATGTTACAGGTTCAACCACACACGATCACAGAAGTACTACAGTAAAAGTTTACTGTTCATGCACAAACACTAATGTCTATGGAAGCCCGTTTCCACCACTGAATAAAGAATAAATAAAAAAGGTTATTGCGACTTTTTATCTCACAATTCTGACATTTTTTTTCACAGAATTGTGAGATATAAACGCACAATTGCGAGTGATAAAGTCAGAATTGCGAGATATAAAATCACAATTGCGTGATATAAACTCACAATTCTGAATTTTTCTCAGAATTGCGTGATATAAACACAATTGCGAGTGATGAAGTCAGAATTGCGAGATATAAAGTCACAATTGCGTGATATAAACTCACAATTCTGACTTTTTTTTCTCAGAATTGCGTGATATAAACACAATTGCGAGTGATAAAGTCAGAATTGCGAGATATAAAGTCACAATTGGGAGATAAAACCTCGAAAAGATATAAACTCGCAATTCTGACTTTTTTTCTCCACGCAAAAATTTTGTCCAATTTTGAGGGGGGGAAAAGACTGATATGTTCTCAGAATTGCGAGTTTATATCTCACAATTGTGAGTTTATATCATGCAATTCTGACTTTATTTCTCAGAATTGCGAGTTTATATCTCACAATTATGAGGAAAAAAGTCAGAATTGCGAGTTTGTATCATACAATTATGAGAAAAAAAGTCAGAATTGTGAGATATAAAGTCGCAATTACCTTTTTTATGTTTTATTCAGTGGTGGAAACGGGCTTCCATAAATGTCAGCAAAATAATTCAATGTGTGCATCCATGTCCGTTTACAATAAAGATGTGCTTCATGTGCTTTAAAAACTTGCAAGCTAACCTGTTAGCCTACTAGCTTTGAATAGTGTGGGCAGTTTTACCCTAAATGATTAGCTTACCATACTGTGATACATTTTTAAAGCAACCTATGGGGGTCCTATAGTGATAGAATCTTACACAACAAAAATTAAAAGTGGAAATTTGTCATGTTGCATCTGATTAGGACAACATGTAACAAGGTCAGAATAGACAGGAAGTAAACATTAGCACAGGCCAGATTGTTAAACATTCAAGCATGACAGGACAGTGAGATTTATATGGGCCGCTAATTTTCATCCATGCTGTGAAGATGACAAATTCTTTCCATTGGTGCTCCCTTTCACTAGCACATGCACTGCACTGATTACCACCTAGATTCACACAGACATCTGAAATATGACTCGCATTCTAAGAACCCAAAAGGTTGTCCTCAGTGGAAATGCAAATATGCTTTTCATTAAAAATAATGAGGGATATGAAGTGAAATGAAAAATGAAATTAGTAAAACGTTCTTCCATGCAGTCGATATAGAAACTCAAAGACTAGTTTCGAAATGTTAGTTTGTCTGTAGTTTCATTACTTTAAATTATAAAAAGCTTGTTCAGTTTCAAAGTAGCTGGTCTTTATTGCTTTGAAGAGCTCATCAGAGATTTGAGATAGAGAGTTGGGTCCAGTTGTAGGTCCAGCAGCCTCTGGGAGCTGTATCAAAGTCCTGAGTCATTGTTCCACACAGACTTGCCTGTCATATAAGGAGACCGTTCACCCAAAATTAAAAGTCTGTCATTATTTACTTGCCTTCACGTCATTCTAAACTCATTTGGCTTTTTTTTCTTCACACAAATCTATCTTAGAAAACAGTGCATATTTTTATGATACCTTTATCCTGATTTTGGAGCTTTGACAGCCCCAACTCCAATCAATCTTGTGTGTTAAACTACTGCAAAAAGTCAAACAGGTTTGGAATGACATGAGGGTGAGTAAATGATGACAGACTTTTCATTTTAGGGTGAACTATCTCTTTAACAAGACTTCAAGTTTCCTCTTTGTGGTTCCCCAGCATCAACCACTTACTCACTCCTCCACGTATCCTTTCTCATTCCACCTTTTTTTCCTCTTCCCCTAGAGTGCAAAGACGTAAATAAGGTGGCATATTGCCCATTGGTGCTGAAGTTCAAGTTCTGCAGCCGTGCTTACTTCAGGCAGATGTGCTGCAAGACGTGCCAAGGACACTGACCCCGCGGAGAGAAACAGAGACAACAAGGAAAGAGAGAGAAAACTGGCAGAGAGAAAAGTCAATGCTGGGCACAGAGAAGGAAGCCTCTCTTTCGCTAATCAACAAACACACACACACAACTGCTTTTAGCCCTGTGGAACCCAAACCACTGCTCAGCACTGCGCTGACACGTTTTATTTTCACTTCTGTGAAGTGGGAATGTATAAAATGATCATTATTGTTGTTATTTTTATAATAATAATAATAATTGCTCTTGGTTATTATTATCAATGTCTTTCTGTTGTTATAGTCCAAAGTGCTGGACACAACACTCACAGAAGTAGCACGGCAGAGGTTTACTTCAAGGTGCCCACCTAAGGGAGTTTGGGACATTGGTATATCCCTGGGTCTTGCATACACACTCCTAACATGGTTCTGTTGGCAACGCTGCATTCAGGGGCATTCAAACCATTAACGTTTGATCACACTGGCAGCAATCAGATAGATTGGAAGTCATTAGTTTTCAATAAGAGTTGGCAATTTCAGGCAACATGACCATCAGAGACTGTTGGTGGCGTGACAAAGTACCGCAACCAACAACGAGCGTGCAGACACTGCCATTCACATGATCCAGCATCTGATAAATGTGTATACAGCAGCCCAAAAGGAACCCTTCCAAGCAATGGATAGTACTGAGACTGCAATGTGAATGCCCCTTTAGGGTTAAAAATAAATAAAAATCCAAATTTTCCACCCAAATGATACTTTTCGCTTCTAAAAACAAAGAAGTATAGATCGGGGGTAACCAGTCCTGCTCCTGGAGAGCTACCTTCCAGCAGACTTCAACCTGCTCCAACAGACCTGCCTGTTATTTTAACTAAACTCTGCAGGATGGAAGCTCTCCATGAGCAGGTGGTATAGACTGAATTGTCTTTTGATTGGAAGTTTAGACCAGGAATGTCCAATCCTGCTCCTGTAAGGGTCAGTATCCTACAGAGTTTAGCAGCAATCTGGCATAGGAGCTGAACTCTGGCTGTGCTCCACTTCGATTTTAGTCGAACATTCGCAAACTTCCCTAAGCACTTCCCCTCTGCCACTGCCATATTGAAGTGCATTCCACTTTGTGAAGTTGACAAGGGAAGTTTATATAGACCAGGGGGGTCCAATCCTGCTCCTGGAGGGCCACTGTCCTGCAGATTTCAGCTCCAACCCCAATTAAACACACCTGAACCAGCTAATCAAGGTCTTAATAGGCATACTAGAAACTTCCTGGCAGGTGTGCTGTCCTGGACCGAGTTTGGACGTCCCTGATATAGACCCTCGACCCCTCGATTTTTACTGAGGGTGTGAGTCTACTTCATACGTACACTTCGGTAGCTTCATATACCACAATGCAACATGATTGTGACGTCACTGCAGATAGTTTAATTTACCCCCACCCCAAACAACTCTATGATATAATAATTATTTTTATTACAGCCAAAACATACCTGTATACATATAGAATGCTGCTTAAAACAAATTTGTAAAGGAAAAAAATGTAAATAATAAATCAACTCCATAGCGGATTCCAACTGAGGATTCCACCAGTTGTGGGGACTCGTGCAACATAATCAATGACGTACACTTGATTCAATGAGATGAAGGGAAGTTAGTGAGGGAAGGGCATAAAAAACAAAGTTGTAGGGCCATTGTAAGACAGTGGCACTCCAGGAGCAGGATTAGACACCCCTGGTATAGACAGTTAGCCAATATTATTCAGCTTGAATAGTTTATTTTTGTGGTTAGATGGAGGCTGTATTAGATATGCATGTGGTTTAATTGAAATCTGTAACTTGGAACTTCTATGTACATTTATTCACTTGGCAGACACTTTTATCCAGAGTGACTTACATTACATTCATTGTTTCAACCCTTGACCTTGGCATGGCTCGAGCCAGGCTCTACCAGTTGAGGAACTTTTAAACTTGACAGCCCTAGTTATATAATTACTTTCAAAAGTAAGATGCCAGGGCCAAAGACAAACAGGGTAGTGTGATTGGGTGCTATGGTGCTGAATTTGTGCAGAAGAAATCTCAATTAGAGCTTCAGAGTCCAGATGTTCAGTTGAGTTAGCCACCTGTTTTACTGAGCTGAATCATATGGCCACAGGCCAAAGAATCACACCATTGTCTGACACTCAAACAAGGCCTGAAAATTAGATCAGTTCCAAAGGGACATTTCTACTATTGTGTCTCTAGAATTATTGTGGACACCCAAGAGACATTAATTGCGATTCTGACGTGATTCTGCTTTATGGATCCATATTCTGCTTTAAATTCTGGGGTTCTGACATCTATGCGTCTGTTCCGGGGACCGGCGTGTGCAATAATTTTCACATAAAATGCGTGCTGCAGCCACACTCCGCCACATTATCAGCAGAATACACAGACATTTCAACAGTACAGGGATCACTTGCTTGGAGATCTCCAGGTCTGTGATGCTGATGCATTAGTAAAGTTAAGTAAAGGGCCAGTGCCTGAGTAACCTGCCAGACCCCATAGATCCGGTCTGCCATCGACTACCTCCAAAACGCCCCCTCTTCCTCCTTTCCTGAGATCACAGTGCTTCCAGCCCACACTCTTAAACCCTCCACACTCAATGGTGCTTTTCGTTCCTCAGTGGAGGACTGTTTGTTCCACTGCACTTCTTCCGTTCATCTTTTGAGTGGGCGGCTCTTCTGGCCCCATGGTGCTATAAGACCTTGATGCATTCTGGGTATGCGGTCTGACAGAAAACCAAGAATACTTTAGCTCTGTTCCAAATCCTAGTGAGCTCCCTACCTAGACCACCTTTTTAAGGCATCATAGATGCGTTTCTGTTGCAAAGGTCGTTCCAAAAAGTAGACAAAAAGTAGACTCGTTCCTTTTTATGATATCGTTTTATTTGTATTTATTTTTTTTGTTGACAAATTCAAAGGTGGAATCACACTTTTGTAATCCCAGAAAGCAGTGCTCGATTGCAGACAAAGTGAAAAATGTGTGCTGCGCATTTTTATGCTATTGTGTCGTTAGCTTAGCCACATGCTACTGGAATCAATTGTGAGTCATGTTTACTGTGCACTTTACGAATGCTATTTGATGGGGTTGTTGTGCACATAGTGTTCCAAATCAGTAAATAGGTTCTATTCCAGTTACGATGCTGCTTTAGGCCTGAAATATATTCTACACAACCACAAATGCAAATTCTAGCTAAGCTCGATTTTACGAAATGTGTTGGACCACGTTGCATTCTTAGCATTGCCACAAGTGGTGCTATATTGCACATTAATGTAAAATATTGTCTTCTAGAGTCAGTCTCTTCAGGTCAACTACTGTCATGGTGGAGTAACAGAGAAAATCTCTTAAAGTTGATATGCTTATAGTTGAAAGGATGAGTTTGGTGAGGTTTGTTACTATCAGAGCAACTCAAGACCACATGTTAGCATACTTGCCTAAGCCATGTTTCTTGACATGAAAATTACATAGAAAAGCAGCTCACTGGGTTTTGGAACTGAGCTTTTTTCTCTTTCTTTCTGTCCTTTTACTTCACATTGGTTTAAGTTTGTCCATCAACTACATGTTGCATTGTTCCATCATCCATGAGTGACTTTACCCTGCTCTCTCTTAGCTAAGGAAACGAGACCTCAATTTTAGATCTCACCTTTGTTAAGGGACACAATAGATTATTGTTATTAAGGAGTTATGGGACATTTTTATGTTTTTAATCATACAACCATTCTACTTTTGCTGCTGCTACACTTTTGTAGCCACAAACACTATTAATCGATTATGTATTATGAAATGTTTATACTGGGATAATTCAACAGTGAACAATGAACAGCAGAACTGTAGGCCCAACATGCTGAGCATCCTGATATTGTGCTTTGTAAAATCCTAAGGCTTGAAGTACAAGTTTACTGGCTTTGGGACACCGACTCTCAATAAGAAACTGGTACTGATTGCTGTGAACTTTTGTCTTTGAATGTCACATTGTTTAACATGTACCTATAGAAGAGAGTTTTGAATTTTTGTGAATAGTTGCTTACATTTTATATGCAGTATTATTAATGTTGGTACACTGTTACTAATTTTTTTTTTTGTAAATTATATGCTAATTTATTGCTATTTGTCACTTGTTTTATGTATGTTTCACTGCATGCAAACTGAAATCTTGTCTAGTGAATACAATGCAGTGGAATAACACCCTTCACGATCTTGTTTTAGTCTTGGTAAAATGTGAGTTTGAATGTGTCTTATTTGCTACTAGAGTGCTCTTAAAACTACGTCAGAATGCTTTTGTGTGAGTCGGTGCGTTTGAGTGTGTGTATGTTGGTATGGTATTACTGCACTGTCTCTCGAGGACCAGTGCTCACAAAAATAATAATAATACAAATAAATAATGGTAAATAGTGTCAAAGGGTAAGGACAGAAATATTCCCATAGTAACTTTAACATTCTCAGTCCTTCGGCTTGTACCCTTGGTGAATCCAACATGTAATGGATCTTGAATAAAATGACTTTAAAAGGGTTGTGTTTGCTTAGATGTTCTTTCCTGTGGTCTCCCACAAATGGCTCAAGTGTATATCTAAATGAGTTTACTGCCTGAGAACAACGGGCTCTTTCATTAAAGGGATAGTTCACCCAAAAAGGACAATTCTGTCATCATTTACTCACCCTTGTGTCGTTCCAAACCTGAAAGACTTTTTCTTTCGTCGAACACACAAGAAGATATCGCTGAATGTCCAGAGAGTTCTAAATCTTAAAGATTTAAAAAAGTCAGGATACAGGTCTACTTTTGAATGGCTATGAATGGATAAAGACGCTTTTTGCCCACATAGTGTGTAATTTTGACACATATTGGCTAACGGGGCCATGCTAACAAGCCAAACATTGAGCCCCTGATGGAGATGGGCTTGATTATGTTCTTCGCAATGCTTCATGGAATTGGACTTTTGCTGCTGAACAATTTGCTGCAATTTCTGCTCCCAGCTACTGATCTGAATGGAATTATGGGTAGTGTAGTCCTTACTGGGGATTTGCCTATCAAGCACGACACTCTAGAAACATGTATCATCACTTATAACACAGCTTTTTGGAATACTTGTTTCTGATTGGTCAGTTGCAG